GAGGAAATTACAAGGGAAAAAAGTTTTTGTATATATTCAGTACAGATGTAATTTTTTTTCAAACATTTTTGATCTGAGGTTGATTAAAGCTGAGGTGTAGAATTCATGGACATAGAGGGCTGATTGTACAGCAGTAAAAATTAACACCTGAGAAATGTGAATTCTGCAAACATTGATTGGAAGATGCAAGGGAAAATATATTGTATGATTCCATTTAATAGTCAAAACTAATCTGATATTTAAAAAGTAGTCTAGACTATGATATTAAAAGTTAGGAATATTATTATCCTAGAAAGGGAACTATCAACTAGAGTCAGGTGCAAGGTAGGCTTATGGGATGCTAGGAATGTGATTCTTGAATACTGACTACATTAGTGCTTCAGGTTGTGAAAACTGAGCTGTAAAATTGTGACTTGTGGTAGTTTGGAATATATATGCAATATTTAAAATTTTTAAAAATTAAAAATAGAAGTTTTTTTGCGAGGGCTGGTGATGTGGCTCAAGCGGTAGTGCGCTCGCCTGGCATGCATGCGGCCCGGGTTCCATCCTCAGCACCACATACCAACAAAGATGTATCCGCCGATAACTAAAAAATAAATATTAAAAATTCTCTCTCTCTCTTAAAAAAATAAGTTTTTAATTCTTGGAAATAACATTGAAATAAAGCCAAACTTGTATTAGCTTTCTATTGCTGCTATAACAAATTACCAAAAGTTTTTAGTATTTTAAGTATAATGCAAATGTATTCTTATAGTTCTGAACAAGTCTGAACACAAATTTCACGGGACTAAAAATTAAGGTGTTAGCAGGCCTATTCTTATTTCTGGAGGTTCTAGGGGACAGTCAATTGCTCTTTTCAGCTTCCAGAGGTTGCCTAGATTCCTTGGAGTAGTCACCTTCTTCCACCTCAAAGCCAGCAATGTATCATTCTTCTATTGTCTTGTTTGACTCTCGTCTCTCTCTTCTACTTCCTATGCTCCCAGCCCTCCTTGGTACTGGGACTGAACACAGGAGTGTTCAAGCACTGAGCTATAACCCAAACCCCCGCCCCTGCCTTTTTTTGAGATAGTCTTGGTAAGTTGCCCAGGCTGGCTCAAACTTTCTGCCTCAACTTCCTAAGTAGCTGGAATTACAGGCATATGCCAGCATACCTGGCTCCCTCTTCCACTTTTAATGGCCTTTTTAAAAACATTGGGCCCAATGAATAATCTAGGATAACCTCCCTATTTTAATGCCAGTTGACTAACACTCTTAATTCCATCTGCAACCTCAATTCCCTTTAGCCATAAAACATAGTCATGGGATCCAAAGGCTTGCCTAAGAGGAACACCAGTAGAAGCAGCAATGCCAAAAGTGGAGAGGGATCATACTTTGATGGCACTGTACTCTCCTTAGATTTAGCTATGGCTAAGTCAGGAATACTTTTGGACTCTTAAGTCCCGTGAACCTTCTCCCCTCAAGTCAGTTTGGGTTGGTTTCCCCAAACTTACAACTTAGTTTTGATGTTACTTGTGATAGCATGGTATGTTTGATACTGAATAAATTTAAATTATTTTGTTTTACTTTAATGTTAATAAGTACATACTAAAGTAAGGATGAAAATAAGAAAATCAAGAAACACATTGAACCTCAATTTTCAGGAATAGTAGACTAGGCCATCAGGACCACTCTCCTACTGAGGACAACTGAAAAAGTAGGACAATATTTATATCTTTGTCTATAACTTAAGAGTATTAAATTGCTAACAAGCTAGTGATTACTTATTAGTAATTACTGATGCAAGAGTGGAGAGAGAATGGAAATCTGAGATGTTTTTTTTTTTTTTTTTTTTTTTTTTAAAGAGAGAGTGAGAGAGGAGAGAGAGAGAGAGAGAGAGAATTTTTAATATTTATTTTTTAGTTCTCGGCAGACACAACATCTTTGTTGGTATGTGGTGCTGAGGATCGAACCCGGGCCGCACGCATGCCAGGCGAGCGCGCTACCGCTTGAGCCACATCCCCAGCCCCCTGAGATGGGTTTAACAGCAGATTAGGTGCAACATTTTCTTTAGGGGGTTTTGTGCCAGCCCTGAAAAGGTAGCTGAGAAATGAGCTGTTTTTGGCAGCCTTGGGTAGCTAGGGAGATGACAACGGAATACAGACCCTCCAAAGTAAGCATGGAAAGCTGCCCTGGGACGGCTGGCGATCCCTAGGAGTAAGGTGAGTAGGAAGCCGTTGGATTAAGATGTTTCTGAATGTTCAGTGCCTCCAGGAATCTGGAAGAAGAAATGTGAATTCTGCAAACATTGATTGGAAGATGCAAGGGAATATGTATGTCATATTTCCTCTTTGGAGGAAGATGTCGTTGTAGGCCTCAAATTATTTCTTCATACAGATGTGATAGGTAATTGAGCACTAATGAGAAAATAGATCATGAGCAAGAACCAAGAGAAAGAGACCCATAAGAATTGAAAATACTCAAATCATCAGATTTGAGAATCAGATCTGGAAAACAATAATGCTCATTCTGTTAAAGGAAATAAAGGCCAAATTCAAAGTTTCAGCAGAAAAATGGAAACTATAAAAAATAACAGGAAAAATTAGAAAGAACCAAAAAGATATTGTAGAATTAAAAAATACAATGAATTAAATTAAAAAAACAGGTTTAAAAATAGGTTAGAAATAGCTGAAGAGAAAAATCAATTTATTACAAAGAAGGGTAGAAGAAACATAGATGTAGAAGAAATAATCTGTTACCACGGATAGACAAAAAGATGGCAAAGAAAAGAAAATCAGAGGACATAACAAAAAGGACTAGAGAGCCAACAATTAGAGTTTCAGGAGAGGAGAGAAGAGAGAATGGGGAAATATTTGAAACAGTAATAGTTGAGAATAGGTGAAAAGACATCAATCCATATTCAAGAAGCCTAGTGAATATCAAGCAAGATTAAAAAGAAATCCACACTTAGACATAACAAAATGATATCGCAGAAATATTAATTTCAAAGAATCAATTGTATTGACAATTAACATCTCAACAGCAAAAAACAGAACCCAAAAAACCAAGAAATTAACTTTTTCATATGAAAAAAGAATACTGCCAATATGTAATTCTATACAGAGTAAGAATATCAACATCAATGCACAAAGATGGGGAGAATAAGAGATGCAAAACAGTAAAAACTTTAAAAAGCAAATAAACAAGTAGAAACTGATTTCATAGACTATAGAATCCTAAGGTAGCAGTTGATGATGGAAAATTATCAGGATCCACACTGCAAAATCTTCATAATGTTCAGAAACTGAGAGTTATCAAATACTTTTGCAACTGGGGGAAATGTTTGGCTAAAGTAGAAGATTGGTTGTAAGCCATTTAGGAAAAAACCAAATCTTTGGACATTTTTCCGCTACCACTCATTCACTGGATGATTGCCTCTCTCCATCCCCATAGATGGGTCCTTGTTCTCAAGAGATGACGTGATGGAGGGTCTGTGGACCTATGGAGGCCAAATCCAGGGATAGTAAGTAGGCTTATGCATAGTAAACTTTGAATATGGGTATTCTCAGCTTTCCCTCTGCACTCAGCCCCTAGAAGCAGTTAGGCTTTAGCTTTCCAAGAAGGCTGGACGACTGTTCTCTGTGCATGTGTCTAGTCTAAGATAACAGGGGATTCCCTACCAAAAGGCTCACCTGATCACTTCACAGCAAATCTCAAAGTCAACAAGTCCCATTAAACTGCTCAGAACTCCCAATGAGCTTTTTTTTTTTTCTTTCCATTTTACCCACAAGGCTGGTTAGAAATCAAAGGAACACATCAGAAGTAAAAGAAAGACTAGAACAAATGTAGGACATAGGGGTAAGGCAACTAAGGGAAAACAAACTATGCAGCAAAACAAGAACTTATAATAAAATGCCCTTAAAATGGTATTGCACTCATGAAACAAGGGTGGGTTGTGTGCTAATTCCATCTATTGGCTCCAAGCCCCATTCCCACCTTTTCAAGTTCTCTGTAACACAGCAGGGTTAGAAGCTAGCCAATTACATTTCCAGGCTCCCTTGAAGGTGCTTCTGTTTAGGTTCTGCCAGTGTGAGACGCTAGGGGGTCCTGGAAGGTGGGAGGAATAAAGGAGACATTTTCTTTCCTGTTTTGGAAGTGCCTTTGGTGGAGGCAGTGGCAACAGCAGTAGCACCAGCAGAAGCAGGCAAAATGGGGCTTCTGACTTCTTTCTCAGTAGCACTGATACAGTTCAATGCAGTAGTGGCAGGGGCCTGCATTGCAAAGCAGCAGTGAGGATGGGTTTTGGGCCCTGGCAGTTGTTTGATCCTTGTCCTCTTTCCTTTTGCTCCTCCTTCACTCCTGAAGTGATTATAGCCAATCCCTTCTTCAAATTCTTCTTTGCCTGAAGTAGTTCAAGTGGTTTCTGTTTTGTTGAGTGAACCACTAATTGATTAAAATGTTAGAATTTTTTTTTTTTTTTTGTACTAGGGATTGAACTCAGGGGCACTTGACCACAGAGTCACATCCCTAGTCCTATTTTATATTTTATTTGGAGACAGGGTCTCACTGAGTTGCTTGGTGCTTCACTGTTGCTGAGGCTGCCTTTGAACTCATGATCCTCCTTCTCAGCCTCTGGAGCTGCTGGAATTACAGGCCTATGTCACAGCGCCCGGCATTTTTTAAAAAAAAAATAATAAAAAATACTTTATTAAAAATATAAAAACAGAAAAAATTCAGTGGAAAGGTAAGAATGCTGATAAAAATCATGCAGAAAGCATAGAAGCACACACACAAAAAATTGAACAGAAGTGTTCAAAATTTACAGTAAATTGTAACACTGTATAACATTAATTATCATGATGTAAATTACTTATTCTCATGTTACCATACAAATACCGAAAGCACCGTCCTGCCTGGCCTAGTGAAATACGGCTAAGTACAATTTCAAGAGCAAAGAAATGTCAAAGAAAACCACAGAAAGTCTATAATCTTCTAATCAACAATACTCTAACAAGAACACTAAATATATTCATGGTTAGATAAGCTTTATTCAAATGTCTGCATAAATATGACTTGATGTCAAGCAAGAAGTTTTTCCAAAGGGCTAAAATTTATTAAGCAGTAAAATTCAGCGCTTCCCTTTGGTCTGTCTCTGAATTTAGCTGACCAACACATCATTATTAATAGTCTGCACTCACTGCTCATTTTCATCACTCACATTTCTCAGATATTTGGGTGGCATTTTTCATTTCTCAGGAAATTTCTTAAATTGCATTTAGAAACAGGACGAGGGTTTTACCTGCTCATTTCTACTTCAGAGGCAAAACCACATCCCTTGATTCCCATTTTAATTGTGGGTGTTTGCAAATGGTGTGCAACTGAGGAACTTAATGTTAAAATACAAAAAATATGGTATAATCTCCATGTGCTAAAACAATAACTTCATTTTAATATTTTCATTAATGAATTACTTATATTATTTCTCCACAAAGAAGCTATAAAAACATCTATAAAAGCATTGAAAAAACACTTTAAAATCCTGGATTTGTGACGGGTACCTTGTTAGCACACGCCTATAATTCCTGACACTTGGGAGGCTGAGGCAGGAGGATCACAAGTTCAAGGCCAACCTCAGAAATTTACTGAGACCCTATCTCAAAATAAAAAATAAAAAGGGCTGGGAATGTAACTCAGTGGTTAATTGTCCCTGAGTTCAATCCCCAGTACCCCCAATTTTTTTTTTTTAAAAAAGAATAAAACAAAATCTTGGATGGATGATATTTCTATGATTTACAACTAAGAATAAAATGCTAAATTCTATGAGAGAATTTCTGAATTATTTTGATAGAAATTTGCTAGAAAGAATCAGAAAAATTTCAGGCTGGGAGTAGAGTGCATGCTTAGCATGTATAAGGTTCTAGATTTGATCCCTAGTCCCAAAACCAAACAACAACAAAAAAATTATTTCTATTTCAACTCCCAATTTAGTTTTGAAAAGCAACACATTTGTTGACAGTCACAAATGATATTAATCTGGAAGGCGGAGATTTGTACATGAGGAGAGTTGGGTCCTTTAAGGTAACAAATGGAAGTGCTCTTCTCTTATTTTTCCCTTACATTTAAAAAAAATTTATTTATTTTTATTCTTCCCTTTCATTTTCAATAACAGTAAAAATATACACATGGTTAAAAAATGCATAAAGTACAGAAAGATCTAAAACAAAGTAAATATCCTTTTCCTATAACATGACAGATGTGATGTCTTCAAAATCCTTTAGGAGTCATATGAGTAACACACCAACTAAGTCTTTTCAGGCCTTTGGAACTCTGTTGATTGTCTCCTATCACACCTCTGCTACAGAGGAAACAAGCATTCTTCTCCTTCATAAAGAAAGTTTAAAGGGCAACAGTCACACACCGCTCAGAGACAACAAAATCCAGGTAGCACCTCAGACACCACTGGGTCTAGCTGTAGCTCCAGAGAGTCCCAGGTAACATCCCTGAAATTTAGGAGTCACATTTACTAAAAAGGCATTTTCAAAAGTAAGAAAACATTTTCTTTAAATAAAAATGAGGAGATCTGTTCCTTGTCAAATTCTATCTGAGATTTGGGGGATGAGAGAAAAATATATTTGACATTATTCAAAAGGGCATGAGCCGCAGACTCCCATGCAGTCAAGTAAAGACCAAGGTATTACTAGGGAACAGGGGCAAGATGAGAGGGCAGGGAACTAAGGATGGAGAAGGAAGATCCCTTCAGAGAAATTCCTGCCCCAAGGCTGAGTAGTTGGGTGTCTTCCCCCAGTGGGGTGAGCCACAAAAACTTACAAGAGACAGTGCTGTAGGAGTTCAGCCAAGTCCTTCCTCGATGCCGCGGATCCTCCGGGCCAGCTGCACATCCTTGGGGAAAAGAGTGACTCGGCCAGCATGTAAGGAGAGGAGGTAGGCATCCTCAAAAAGGTGAACTAAAAATGCTTCTGCTGCCTGGGCAAAAGAGAAAATGACAGACACAGACAAAAAGCACAGGCTGCTCTTTGGAGACCTGTTGCACTCCTGAGAGCTCAAACAGGACAGAGGGAATGACTAAAGAGCTCTGCTGCCACCACACAGAATCTCCTCCAAACTCTCATCAATGTGTCACTGTCTTCAGGAGGTCAGACCAGCCTGTAATATTTCACAGGCAGTCCCATGGGATTCTGGAATATTCTTTCTCCCCCTCTCAGCACTCACCAGTGGTATTTGAGCCCCTTCTTACCTCTTGAAGGGCCAACAGGGCCTGGGCTTGCCAACTGAAGTCCACACCACGTGTGAATTTCATACATATTTCTCTTGCCTGCAGAGGAGTGGGGACAGAGATGAGGAGGAGTAGAGTAACAAAAGAGAGATTAAAGGGAAGACAGACTCTCTCCAACTGTCTCCCATGAATTCTCATCTCCATCAATCTGTCCTGGCCCTTAATGTTAGGGCCCAACCAGCAGCAGGTTTGGATGCCTGGGAGCTTAGAAAATGGTGGTAAGAAGATAAGGAGGCAATCTCCAGGGTAGGAAAAGGGATCAAACGGTAGGTGGATGAGAGAGTTCTATTTCTTTTCTTAAACATCAATTTATTATTTTTCAATATTTATTTTTTAGTTGTAGTTGGACGTAATACCTTTATTTCACTTTCTTATTTTTATGTGGTGCTGAGGATCGAACCCAGGGTCTCACACATGCGAGGCGAATACTCTACCTCTGAACCATAATCCCAGCCCGAGAGTGTTTTATTTCTATAGTCAAAGTACAGTTTCAAAGTAGAGGTAGTGGGGGTATCAATTCCAGAGAGAACTGCAAGGTTGGAGGGACTTTGGAGGGCTCATATTTCCAGAAGATGGAGTCCTCTACCAGGTTAAAGAATATGTAACTTAGTCACCTAGGTAAGACATGGTAGGGTCCTACATATCTGGGAAATTTAAAGGAAAGAGGGTGGCATGGAGTGGTGGGAAGCTCCCTGGAGCTTACCAGGCGGCTGAAGGGGTACCTCCTTATCAAGAGGTCTGTGCTCTTCTGTAGATTTTTGATCTCCTTAATCCAGCGAATTCTTCTCCGACTATGTTGACGAGAGGAAGAACCTAAACAAAACAGATGGATCATGAAGAGAAGGTGCAGTAGAAAATGGGTGATGCCTTACAATTGGTTGAGACAGATCAACTGTCAAGTCACTAGGCTGTGACTGTGAGCAAGTATGCTCCACAAGGGCAGAATGTTTCATTCACTACTCTTTAGCAACTAGAAAACAGCAGATAGTTGCTAAACATTTACTAAAAAAAAAAAAAAAAAAAAAAAAAAAAGGATGTTCCTTTGAGATTTGAGTGCTAACATTTCCATGAAGCCTTTCCTGAAACCCAAGCCCTTCCCAACAGACGGGTTGCCTCTCTCCTCTGGGCGCCACAGTACTTGATTTCTCTTATCTTTCTCACTAGATTGAAAACTCATTTATTTTGGTTTTAGGCCTTTTTGTTAACAGCTGGAAGGAATCAGATACTGTCTCCTACAATACCCCTGTCTAGATTATCCTGGGGCCTAGAGAAGTGAAGACAGTTGGCCACAGTTCATTAGAGGCCAATGAGCTTTAGAATTAGCATAAGTCATTGCCAGTGTCAGGAATGCAGGTTATAGAGTCACAGCCTTTGGCTCAAATTCTAGTTCCAACATTGACATTAAAAGATGGCTAAGTTCATCTCAGGTGGTACATGCCAGTGGTCCTGGTGACAGGAGGTTGAAGCAGGAGGATCACAATTAACTTAGAGAGACCCTATATCAAAATAAAAAGGACTGGAAATGTAGTTCAGTGGAAAAGCACACCTGGGTTCAACCGTTAGTTCAAAAAAAAAAAAAGAATTTGTCCAGAGGCCCGATTATAAAAAGTCATTGTTAGAGTTATTTTAAAAATTAAAAGAACATGGAGCAAAAGAAATATTAAAGATAATAGGGACTGGAGTTGTAGCCCAGCAATAGAACACTTGCCTAGCATGTGAGGCATTGGTTTTGATTCTCAGCACAACATATAAGTAAATAAATAAAATTAAAAAAAAAAAGTACATCCTGATTTTACATTTATGTGGTGCTAAGAATTGAACCCAGTGCCTCATGTATGCTAGGTGAGCGTGCTACCACTTGAGGCACATTCCCAGCCTCTAAAAGTGGTATTTAGAATCACAGGGATAGATGAGATCACCAGGCAGGGAATAAAAGAGAAAAAGATGCCAAGTCCCATATCAAGGAGTTGGAGAGAGGTGACACAGGCAGTCAAGAGAACCAAGCAGGAACTGCCAGATTGCATGGTGTCGTGGAAGCCAAGGGAACAGAATGTTTCAAGGAGAAAGTGGCCTACTGTGTCAAATGCTTCTGACACAGAGTAGGAAAGGACATAGACCTGCCTATTGGATTGGGCAAATGAAAGTTGCTATAGTAGTTCAAGTATGGTTAGTAGCTGCAGAAAGTGGGATTGAGGTGGGTTGAAGGGTGATTGGGAAGTGGGGAGTAATGTGTACACTTGAGTCTGGCTACTTAAAAGAGTAGCTATAAAGGGAAACAGAAATGGAGAATATAGGGAGTTGAGAATATGGGCTCAAGGAAATCCCCTTGCCCTTTTTCTGAGGATCATAAATACTGGAGCACATTTGCCAATGCTAATGTTTGGATTTAATTCTAGGTGCAGGTAGAGGGGACCAAAAAAAGCCCTTTTGCAGGTGAAAGAAACACATGGTTAAGAGCCCTTGAAGAAGCTGGAGCAGCTTTTGATAGGAAGGCAGATACCTAGGCAAGGCCAATATAATCACTACTTAAAAGGATAGTTATAAAAGGGAAAGAAATGGGGAGTCTAGGAAGCTGGAAATGTGGTGTCAGGGAAACACCCCTCCCTAAGAGTAAGTGAGGAGACTGAAGCTGTATGAAGAGGGGGAGCAGGCTATGGTAGCACATACCTGTAATGCCAGTTACTCAGGAGTCTGAGGCAAAAGGATAGAAGAATCACAAGTTCAAGAACAGCCTGAGCAACTCAGCAAGATCCTATGTCAAAAAGGAAAAGGAAAAAAAAAAAAGTATGGAATTGTCATGGGGAGAATGGAAAAGCAACAACACCAGACAAGAGCAACAGGACTGCCAAAAGAAGTATGAGTGCCCATTTGAGGCAAAACTTTTCATTTAATCAGAAATAGTAGAAAGGATGCTTCTACATTGGAAAGCAACAGCAAACAACATATTTAACACTCCCATTAACATCGAGAACAAGACAAAGATGGCCAAGATAATACTCTTCCAGTCTTAGAGTCTCACTAATACCATCAATAAGAAGTAAAATGTGTAAAAACACAAAAGAGTCAAAAATCATTATTTGCGGATGATATAATAGCTTAAAAAAAAATACAATTGGGGCTGGGGATGTGGCTCAAGCGGTAGCGCGCTCGCCTGGCACGCATGCGGCCCGGGCATTCGATCCTCAGCACCACATACAAAACAAAGATGTTGTGTCCGCCGAAAACTAAAAACTAAAAAAAAAAAAAACAATTGAAGCAATAGAAGAACTTCTAGGATTAATGAAGGGCTGGGGATGCAGCTCAGGGGTAAAGGGCTAGCCCATGGTCTATGAGGCCTGTGTTCAATCCCCAGCACCAAAATAGAATTTAGCAAATCGGCTGTATGCAAAGGTTAAATTCTTATGTTTTAGCAAAGAAAAATATTTTTTCTTTACATTTCTTACAACAGTAATATTTAAAATCACCTAAAATACATTTTCCCCCTTGCTCTCAGAAGACAAGTATAGCAGCTATTGCTGTCCTGTGTGCAGTCCCCACCCTTGCCAACTCCAGCCCCAAATCAAGAAACTGAGGACCATAAACTCTTCCTACTTCCAGGAAAGGGAAGCGGGTGAGTGCAGGGAGTCTTGATTAAGGCCCAACACTCACTGAAGGAAAACAAACCTGGAAAGACAGCTCTTAAGAATAGGACTGCAGTTAGAAATTGTCACCCAAAGCAAACCAATAAAAAAACCACACACACACACATACAAAACAAACAAACAAAAAACCCTCAAACACAAATGCTTAAAAATCTTGGGTCTACCAGAACTAGTTGTGTAGTTGTGTGACTACTCAAGTTACCTGGCCTGCCTGTGTCTCAGTTCTCTCACAAGCTGTAAAATGGGCACAATACAAAGATGAGATAATGCATGAAAAAGAGTTTAGTGGTAAGCGCGCGATAAATGTGTGTAGTAACAAGAAGAACTGGTCTTAGGAACAGGCTGTCTGGCCAGTCCTTGTCCCCTTCTGCAGCCCTTAGTTGGGCTGAGCACTGGACCGTGCCCGGAGCAGAGGCTGGAAGGCAGAGGCTGTGTCCACTGGCAGCGGAAGGCCACGGGACCAGCCGTTCTGTCAGCTCCGCAACAAGCCTGGTCCTTCTCGTCTGAGAAGTGTGGCAATTCCGTTTCCATGCCTCGCTCCGGGGTGAGCTGCAAGGGAAGGGTTTACCTAAGGAGGCTTCCCGCCGCGGGGTCCCGCGAGGTGGACTCGCGCTGCGCCTCTTCGGGGTCTCTGGCTTGCGGCGTCGGCGGCGAGGGCCCATCGCCGGCCACAAAGGGTCCCGGCTCCCGGTCGCCCCACGGCTCCTGTTCGGTCTTGCGGTCCGGTAGCTGAAGGCTGGTTACCGACAGAGGACGCGAGAGCGCCCGGGCGGAGGGCCACTGCGGAGCCGGTGCTCCACCCAGTCAGCGTCGCCTTCCGTTCAAATCTCCCGCCCCGCCTACTTCACGGCTGGCGTTGTTTAAAACCCCAATTCAGAGACTCCCAGTGGCTAACTCTGAATGCCCGGCATAGAGCGACCGCAGGAAAGACCAATAAGGGCACGGGCCGACAGAAGGACCGCGGCGGTGATAGGAGGAAAGCGGGGGGAAAGGCGGATCCACGGTGGAGTCAGCCAATGAGCACTTGGAGAAATGAATGGCGTCTGGCTTGTGACGGGGCTGGCTGTTTGACCTATAGGACAGATGCCTATGGTTGAGCTCTGGCCAAAAAGGAAATCTCAGTGCTGAAGAACGTGTTTCTCTTTTCGGGAGCGGTTTGTTATCGGGATCCGGGATTGAACTCAGGGGCGCTGGACCACTGAGCGAGTGTGGCCACATCCCCAGCCCTATTTTGTGTTTGATTTAGAGACTGAGTTGCTTAGCGCTTCGCTTTTGCTGACATGGTTTATGAATTTGCGATTCTCCTGCCTCAGCCTCATAAACTGCTGGGATTCCGGGCGTGCGCCACCGCGTGGGCTGAAGAATGTATTTCTCATTGACAAGTCACTTTCCTCATATTTTATGTAGCTCTATCAACCGTGGGGTGGCTTTAAAGATGAGGAAACAGACCCACATGTGACAGTGATCCACTTCGCCTTTTGAATATAGCTCTGAGGCTTATTTTTAAAACGGAGAAGTTTTCTTTTTCCTCTTTTCCTTCTCCTCCTCCCTAATCTGAGGAGGGGAACAAGATTACCTTGAGTTATTTGTGCTCCACAGCAAGGAAATGTCTGCCAGAGGATCTAGGAAGTGAATATCTCTCAAATTAACAAGTGAATCCTAAGGTACCATCAGGGCGCCCGGGGTGGGGTGAGAGATGCTGTCAGGGCATACCTGGAATACCTCCTTTAAAATGCCCCTTCTTCCTAATGGGGAGAGTCACAGCCTCTGGGACAGGAGTCTCCTATGTTTCTCCTCTGCTAGCAAAACAACAAAACTTATTTTTCCTTTTTCTCAAAACCATGCCCACATTATTGAATTGGCATCGGGGACAAGGACCAAGCTTTTGGTTACACACAGAGAGGGTGACACCCTTCTTGAGGATGCCCTGCAAATAGAGTAGGAAGCTAGTTTAACTGCATGAACTTTCAGATGATTAGGGTTTGGGACGTCCAGCATGGTGGGCTCTGAGGATGAGGTCCAGGCAGGGCAATCATCAGCACTACTTTTGGACGGGCTGTCTAGCACCTGGATAGAATCATACCAGGGAAACAAAGGATCTCTTCCATTTTCCATTCAGAATAATATGAATTCAAGTCATGTTGTCATACTTAGAATAAAGGGAATTTTAACTTCCTCTTTTTGCTCTTATGAATTTTCTGAATGTTCTGTGAACATGTACTGTAATCAGGAAAATCGTTAGTTATAAAATCAGTGATTTCATGGAACACTTGTGCGTTGCTGGGGAGAATGTAAAGTTGTGCAGCTGCTGTGAAAAATAATATGGTGGTTCCTCAAGAAATCAAACATAGAATTACTAAATGAACCACCAATTCCACTTTTGCCTATCTATCCAAAAGAATTGAAGGCAGATAATTAAATGGATATTTGAATAGCCATGTTTATAGAAGCTTTATTCACCATAGCCAAAAGGTGGAAACAGCTTGAATGCCCCTCCATAGAAGCATGGATATACGAAATATGGTGTATTCAATGGAATATTATTTAGCTTTAAAAAGTGGAAATTCTAACACATGCTATGAACATAGATGAACCTTGAAAGACTTTATACTGACTGAAATAAGCTAGTCACAAAAGGATAAATACTGTAGGACTCTACCTACATGAAGTACTGGAGTGGTCAATTCTTAGAGACAGAAAATGGAATGCCAGGGGCTGGGAGGAGGAGATAACAGGGAGTTCTTACCTAATAGGGACCAAGTTTTAGTTTGAGTAAATGAGAGAAGTTCTAGACATGTCAGGTGGTGATGGTTGTACAACGATATGAATTAATGCTACTGAACTGTGCACGTCAAAATGGTTAAGATGGTGAATTTTGTGTTATGTCTATTTTACTATAATTATTTTTTTAAAAGGAAAGTTTTTACTAAATCCATTGAGTCATAGTTATAATCACAGAAAGATCCAGGTCAACACAGAGGGAAGAAATCCAGAGATACTAGTCCTCAATAGCCATTAATCGGACAAAGCAAAATTTCACTTATTAATTCTGCTTTAATTTCAGCCCCTTTTTTGTTCAATTGAAAGTAGATAATTACTTGGCATGGTGGTACACACCTGTAATTCCAGCAGCTTAGGAGGCTGAGGCAGGAGGATTGCCAATTTAGTGAGGCCCTAAAGAAACTTAGTGAGAACCTGTCTCTAAAATATACAAAAGGGCAGGGGATATGGCCCAGTGGTTAAGCACCCCTGGATTCAATCCCCAGTAAAAAAAAAAAAAAAAAAAAAAAAAAGTAGAAAATTAGGTAGAAAACAAATGAGAGTTCACAAGAAACTAATGCAATTGGCTACCTATAAAGCAGTGGTGGGTGAGTGGAGACAGAAGAGTAAGTGTGTTTCTCAATGTGTACATTTTTATTTTTTTTAAAAGATGTTTATTTATTTAGTTGTAGTTGCACACAATAATTTTATTTATATGTGGTGATGGGGATGGAAGCCAGAGCCTCGAATGTGCTAGGTGAGCACTCTTGAACCATAGCTCAAGCCCCCAATGTGTACATTTTTATATATTGTTTTAAATTTTGAACCAGTTGAATTGCAAATCTATTTTAATAATAAAATTAAATAAAAATAATAAATGGGTTGAGGAAATCAAGAATAGTATTAGACTACCCTGAAGTCCAGTGGAGTTGAATGAAACAGAGTAGCAAATTGTCAATCCTAGAAACATACTTGCCACCAACTAACTGTCTTGACAGTGGGTAAATAAACCAGCATGGGAGAGAGAAAAGGGAGGAAACTAGTTAATTAGTTGTACCATCACAAATAATGCAGAGACTCCCTTAGCCAAAGCTCCTGTGGATCTACTCTCTTAAATCTTCCTGAAGAATAGGGTTAGATTCTAGAAGAAGCATTCCTGGCTTTCCTTTCAAGCTCAGGACCAAGAATTTCAGCATTCTGGATCCTTATAAGATTGCTCAGAAGACCTAACGGTCAAGGCCAAAGCCCACACATAAGGAAATGAAAATCAGAAGAGAAATTGAAATGCATGAAATGGAAGTAGATGATTCTCCAGATTACCCAGCAGCCAACTTTTTGCTGGCTTGGTATTCCCACCTCAATCAGGAGTACAATGGCTCTTCTTGATGATGCATAGTCTAGATGACTCCTTGGGGATCCCAGCTTCACCTGATTTACCTGTCAGCTTCTGTACAACTGTTAATAACTTTCCTAGTGCTCCTGCTTCTGGTCAGCAAATAAACAGTTCAGAAGAAACAAGAAATGAAAACAGCCAAGACAATTACTTCTGCTGGTTTCTGGTTCTAGAGACAAACCAATGCTCCAGGAAACTCACTTAACTTTTGATTCTGGGGCTTAGGAGAAGATTGTGGTGACTTGTAAGCTATAAGATGAAGTAGCCTTTAGGAGGCTGAGGGAGGTAAACCCATCAGCCAGTGGGTTTACTGGTGTGTCTCTTCATGAGCAGTTGGCATGAAAGTAGGTGGCTCTGGTCTATCCCTGGCTTCTCCTCCAGGAGTTCATCCTGGCACTGTCACTATACTTGTGGTCTCTAGATGTTTACATGACCAGGATCAATACTTAAGTAAGTCTAGAAGGATATGAGGGTGATACTAACAGGTATCAGCATTCAGGATGGAGGCCCAGTGGGAGTAAGAGAAACAGATTCTTTCAATTTAATGACAGAAGTACTGTATGATCCTGCAATTCCATTTATGCTTATATGTCCAAAAGAATTGAAGGCAGGCACTTTAACAGATACTGGTGCAGTCATGTTCATAGCAGCTTTATTCACAAAAGCTAATACCCACCCTCCAAGCCAAAGCTAGTAGCTTTGCCCTTTCCGAATTCTCATCCTCTCTGATCCTGCTCTTATACATTACTCCTTCAATCAATAACAACTCATCTCAGTTCTTATGACATCTTCTCTCCAGCCCCTCATGGCTCAATCTATTTTTTCTCCAAAGAATCAAGACAGTTGATTCTTCCCTCTGTTATGCTCTTGGAAATGTCCTTATCTACAACCCTTACCTTTCTTTTTAATTCTCTAGTTCCTTCTATTTTTGCCTGCAGCCTATCATTTTTCTCTTCCTCAAACATGTAAGAAGGAAAACTAGACTTCCTCTGAGACCTCTGATGGTCAAGAAATGGGCAGGGGGTGGCTTGATGTGTTTTGGAGTCATCATTGGTGGGTCTATAGTTTGAGCTTCCTTACTCTCCTATGACAGTTCGGGTCCTCAATGGAGGATGGAAGTGATGTCTCCATAGTAGATAGAGAGGCTGGTGTGTGCATGTGTGTGTGTAGGGAGGGGACACAAAATGTGTGTGTGTGTGTGTGTGTGTGTGTGTGTGTGTGTGTGTGTTGGTGAGACAGCAGTCCCCCACTCCAGCTGTATCTCAATGAGGTCATGCACATGGCACAGCTTGTGGTTACAAGAGAGAGGGAGCCCAGCTAGGGCTCTGGGCATGACACCTTCCTACTTAGAAGGTGAGGAAGGAAGGGAAATGGGGAGAATTCCAGCACAGCAATTTTACTCTCCAACATGTGGATGAGAACACACCTGGCACAGCAAGGGACAGTAAGATAGGGCCCCAGATCCCAGCTAGGGTGGGATGTCCAGGCTAGTCTGTTGCTTGGTACTAACCCTCATCTGTTCTTGCTTTGGCATTGGGCCAACTAACCTGAAGTTTTTACTCAATCATCTACCCTCTACATCTTCCCCCTTTCCCCCTTTCCATTTTTTTTTTTTTTTTTTGGTGGTGGTGCTGGAGATTGAACCAAGTCTTGCATATACTAAGTCTACTACTGAGCTATATGTCCAGCCTTG